GCTCAGCTATCGGGTGGGAGGGGGAGGATAAAAATAGTAACGAGTGAATGATGCAATAGCTACTCTTTGCTATTAATAGTAACGCGTGGGCCTACAGTGCAGTCTTTGAGTGTTGCCTTCTCCTCCAGTCGGACTTGATTGCATAAAATTGAGTTTTGAATTGTGCAACTGAGAGAGAGAGAGATTAAGATTTAAAATCATTTTCATGAATATAACAAGGTTAAAATTATACATCTGATACATACATGTACATGTATGTACTTACATTGCATAGAAAGTTTGAGCTGATTCTGATCAAAATCGGATTTTTTATAAATTTTTTAAGTTGCTGAAAATCAGGCCAAAGTCCCTGTACAGGGTGTTTGGCCAAATTTTGCCAAAAATAAAAAGGTAGGAAATCTCCATTTTTATAATTTTTTCTGATACATATACATGTTCTGTGCGTAGAAAGTTTGAGCTGGTTCTGATCAAAATTGGATTTTTAATGAATTTTTAAAGTTACTCAAAATATTGAGTAAATACAGTACATGTATCATAATTCATTTGTACCTTTCTCCAATGACCACATGATCCATTATTACTGAATTGATGACTTTCACTTTCTCTCCAATCACACAGTGTCTTCCTATCATTGACCTCTTAACTGATACTTTATCTGATAACTGAGTACTCTCATCAACCACTGAGTCACCACTGATTGCCTGAAACACATTATTATTATTATTGTTATTATATCATAAATAAATGGATAGTATTTTAATGGTAGTATTTTAATGGTAATATTTTTCTTGAAAAACTACAGTGTATACATACATGTACATGCATACAATTTATTGATTTGGGCATGGTACACATGTACATGTATTTCAAATTCAAATTTAAGAATTACACATATACTGCGGCCACTGTACATGTAACAATGTCAGTCTAAACTTTTTAAATAATAATAATTAAAGATCCTTATCCATTTTTAATACGCTAATAATTGCACTTACACTTGACTTTATTCCTTGTCCACTTGTTCCAGAGTCCAACATGAAACTTGACGAATGCTGTCCTATCTAGAAAAATATTTCAGAGACAAATGAATTAATATTCAGAGCCAAGTGAAGCAGCCACAACATATTAGGCAGTTAGTAACTTTAGGGCCAATAAGACTCATAATGACCCATATCAAAGACTGACAACAGGTTTGGTTATAATTATTATTAAATTCGTTAATAATTATTTCTTGTATTGGTGCAGCTACATTAATATTAATAAAGCTATAAATAGAGTGGCCATTAATTTAATGGATAATAATAATTTATTATAATAATAAATTTGATTTAATGACACCGTAGGGTGCCTTTTTTTCGAGGGCTATAAATTTCGTGGATTTCGCAATTTTTTAGAATTCGCAAAAAATTACTTCCGCAAAAATCAAATTAATACGGTACAAGATGGCAGACGGCATAAATTTGCAAAAAATTAAATCCACAAAACAAAAATCCATGAAATTTATAGCCCTTGAAAAAAGGCACCCTACAGTAAATTTGATCCACTCCGACACACATCACTCACCATCCTATTGGCCTCCATATACAGTGATACAGTATTGACTCTAGTGCATAGCTCAGCTCCACTAATTGTGTGGGCGTGGCACTGGGTGGGGGAGGGGACAGGAGAGGAGGAGTATTGCGAGGCCAACTTGTCAATATCGTCATGGAATCTCTCAGAAAACTGTAATAGAACTAACAAAATATATATTACAGGTAAGTTTTTAGAACACAAAAGTTTTCTCTACTCAGTCTTAAAGCATAAAATTTTATAGGGATGTCAATTCGCAGATTTCACAATCCTTGAAAATTGAATTAGATTTTCGGCGAATGAGTTTGGACGAATTCGTAATATTTATGACCATCAAAAGTGAAAAGTTTTATGCTGTAAATTAAAATTAGGCACAAATTTTTTTTTCTCTAATTGTCTTGTCTTTATACTCTCTTCCATTTTCCATTTCCTTCTCTCATCCCCTCCCCCCTCCCTCACTCTCTCTCTCCCTCCCTCTCTCTCTCTCTCTCTCCCTCCCTCCCTCTCTCTCTCCCTCCCTCTCTCTCTCTCTCTCTCTCTCTCTCTCTCTCTCTCTCTCTCTCTCTCTCTCTCCCTCCCTCCCTCTCTCTCTCTTACTTTTTGAGTCCTGGTTCTTCAACAGATGAGGTAATACTTCTCTTTTAAAAGAGAGAGCATTCTTGAGGTGCTCCTGCATATAATCAAGAACCCACCTACTCACAATGTACACGTGACTATCCAACAGATTGGAGTGCATCTTAAAATGAGGTGTCCTACACATTGTAAAGGACAAGTTTAATAATATGCTGGATAATGTACACATCCTCTTGGCAATAGATTAATAATTAATAATAAAAGGTAATTGCTTATTAATGAATTCGCCTTATACATGTACAATAGCTATTTCTTTAAATTTTTTGCACATTTTTATAAAATTTGCACAAATCATACATGTACATGCAATTGTACATGTATTACTTTTTCACAAATTTAATTTTAGAAAATAGCAAAATTAAGTAGCATTTAAAAATTGTTATAGAATAAGTATATATGTATTTATTATTATTATTATGTTACATAGACAGTTTATTATTTTTATGGATCTTCTTAGTATAATTTATTATGTTACCTTTGTAACATTTTTTTGCTCAATTTGAGTTCATCGTCTACATCAGCCAATGACGAATGGAAAACAACTTGACCTGATTCTGTTAGACCAATCAAATCTTTCTCACCTGCACCACCTAATGCATGTACGTGTACATTAAATATTAATATCAATTTGATATTTAAAATTGTAGGTTCTTTTTAAGCCATTTTTCTGAAAAGCATGAGCTATACACAAAATATATAGTACATACAGGGTACTTTAAAAAATCTTTTAATGGCCATAACTTGAAAAATTGAAGTCAGAATCAGCTCAAACTTTCTACATAGCATAAGTACATGAATGTGTATCAGAAAATGTAATAAAAATTGTGGGTAATTTTGGAGCCATTTTCCGGAAAAAACCATGGGCTATAATAGTACAGGGATTTCAAAAATTGGCACATTTTAAAAATGACCATAACTCGAAAAATTAAAGTCGGAATCGGCTCAAACTTTCTACACAGTATAAGTACATCAATATGTATCAGAAAATGTAATAAAAATTAGGGGTGATTTCGGAGCCATTTTTCGGAAAAAAACATAGGCTATAGTACAGGGATTTTTCAAAAATTGGCCGATTTTTTAAAATGGTCATAACTCGAAAAATTGAAGTCGGAATCAGCTCAAACTTTCTACATAGCATAAGTACATCAATGTGTATCAGAAAATGTAATAAAAATTGGGGGTGATTTTAGAGCCATTTTCTGGAAAAAAAACCATGGGCTATAGTACAGGGATTTTTTCAGAAATTGGCACATTTTTAAAATGGCCATAACTCGAAAAATTAAAGTCGAAATTAGCTCAAACTTTCTACACAGTATAAGTACATCAATATGTATCACAAAATGTAATAAAAATTGCAGGTGATTTCGGAGCCATTTTATGAAAAAAAACCATGGGCTATATAGTACAGGGATTTTTCAAAAATTGGCATATTTTTTAGAATGACCATAACTCAAAAAATTGAAGTCGGAATCGGCTCAAACTTTCTACACAGTATAAGGACATCAATATGTATCAGAAAATGTAATAAAAATTGGAGGTGATTTCGGAGCCATTTTTTGGAAAAACCATGGGCTATAGTACAGGGATTTTTTCAAAAATTTACATATTTTTAAAATGACCATAACTCAAAAAATTGAAGTTGGAATCGGCTCAAACTTTCTACACAGTATAAGGACATCAATATGTATCAGAAAACGTAATAAAAATTGGGAATTATTTCGGAGCCATTTTTCTGAAAAAACCATGGGTTACAGAAAAACTTCTACATGATGTACATGTAACTATAGTATTCTTGTCTCTCTCTCTCTTACCAAAAGCAGGTGTTGATGTCTTTTGCCTCTCATCGCTATTATTAGAAGGCAGTGGTTTCACTAGTAGGAGACTCACTGCTGATCTCAGTGTTACATGTTTCTCCCATAACTGGATCAACGATACTGTTGACAACACATCACAACTTAATACTAACAGATCAGACTATAGAGGAAAGAAGAGAGAGAGAGAGAGATGAAATATAGCATAAAGAAATACAATAAGATATTGCATATATTTCACACACTCAATGCTTGCTAGGCCACATATAATGTACATGTATGTGCTACAGTAGGTACATGTACAAGCAACGTAAAATTCCATTGAAAAATTGGTCCGAAATTATTAAATGTAATATAAATGTTCTAAATAGACTGTAATTATTATTATTATTCTAAAAAATTATTTTAATGTTTTTTAATTGTATTTTTTGTTCCTTTACTACAGTAAGTAGGTACAGTACATGTTTCTACAGCATAGAATTTCATTGAAAGAAACAGTCTGAAGTTATTAAATTATTATTTTTAATGCACTGTGATTATAATTATTGTTCTTCTAAAATTTAATATTAAATTCTATATATTTTTTTATTACTTTAATTCTTCCTGATGCCTTTAGTGCTGATAGTGCCACGGCTGATCCCGTCTCATCAGAATCATGAACCTCAAAAGTGTTGAACTCAATATCACTGCTAGCCAGTCTGGGATACTCGTCGAGTGATTGCTTGATTGATTTGAGATCACGCGAGTTAACGATCACGGTCACCTCTGATATTAAGAAAAAATATTAAAAACAACAATTATTATTATGAGTAACAACGACATTAAGTTTATATATACTTTATTATTAATTAAATATTTAGTTTACACTTACACAATTATTAATACAGTGCACACGTGTACAATCTTTCAGACAATGTCAATGGGCTCACCTTTAAAATTATTTTTCTCCAGTAGTCTCAGCGGGTAATAGAGTAGTGGCTTGTTTCCTACTGGTAGCAATGCTTTAGGATACGCCTCGTTTAGTGGATATAGACCAGAGGCCTGTCCTCCAGCTAGCAACACAGGATGAAGATCCATGATTTTTAATTTTTTGTCAATTGCAAGCCACTCCTATACAATTCAACACCCACGCAAAGTGTTTTTTGGACCGGATGTAGATATAAATCTACTTCCGGTTTAGTTTTCACATCCGGTTTCAAATTGCGTGGGTGTTGATTTTTTGTGGGCTGGCTTGTAAAATGGAGCCTACAGAAAGCCTTATTGAAGGCATTGGGGACGAGCTGCTGTGGACTTTTCTCTCTCTATTTGTAATCTTCCTGCTCAGCGTGTGGTACCTGTTCTGTACTGATAGTAGGAGAACAGAGAATGTCCATCCTGAACAAGTAATTAAATAAATATAAATAAATTATTAAGAATCTTTTGAGCAAATTTTGAAAAGATAGGATGAAAAGATGAAGTCTTTATTTGCTACTTAGGATTAATAATGTATAAGGGCAGATAGGGATAAGGCCTTATGTCATAGCATATAGAATTGGGGTATGAGAAATGAAACTCAGTTACAGTATTGTTGAAGTACCCTGTATACCCTTACAGCTTAACGTCATATTTATTTATAGAGAGGCTAGAGGAACAGTGTAGATTTATATATAAGTCTATACTTAAATGCATGTATTTCATGTATTTTATAATGCTATTCAATTAATTGATTTAAAATCTTTTTACTATTCAAAATCAGTTCTTCATTCACTCCTTCATAGATGGTCCCATTTTGTATCCATCTATAGGAAGAAGTAGTAGAGAGAGTAAGAGAGCAACTAAGAGACAACCAACAGCAACAAGAAGAAGAAGAAGAAGTCAATGAAGACTATGATCCTGATAATGCTGAACTCCCTCAATGCCCAGTCTGCCTTGGACCTATAACATACCTAGCAGAGACTAACTGTGGTCACAGGTTTTGTGCCCAGTGCATACTAATGTACTGGAGGACTGATAGGTGGCCTAGGGCCTGTAGGTGCCCTGTCTGTAGGAGAGAGGTTAATATCCTATTGACATTGCCTCAGTTGGAGACTAATGAGAGATATCGTGATTTAACGAATCAGATT